AGAGCATTTTGGAAGTCTAGAGAGAATACTCATGAAGTGGTGTTCTCTCCATGCTGCATGTATTAAAGTGTCTTGATTACCACACCGGCTTGAAAGTTCTTCAGAGAATTAGCACTCCTCAACTTTGGAGAGAATGTCCACGACAATGTCTAGATTGATTAGTAGCAAATCATTTATGACCCTTACATCTTTCTTTCTTTGCCTCTATCGCTCTCTCTGCAGGGCCAGTGGAGAGGTGAATAACGACATTGTAGTGGAGATGAAGACTGACAAGGCCAACGAAGAGGCCGGTCTCCTCAACAAGAGACCGTCCACAGAACAGGTGAGACCAATGGACACATGCATCAAGGGTTTACGGGTCAATGACCTGGGTTTTAGTCAACAATGAGCTGTAGCTGCTAATTATTATAGGGAGAACTAACAAATAACTTAAGATAATAAAATAACTACAAAAAGGTCTTCATATGACTTATAGTACACCAGTTTCCTATATTCCTATTCCTAAAAAGATTTGATGAGCTCAGTAGTGCAGAAGGGCTAACTTGCTTCTGCATTCATGAATGTGACTAATGATGCTATGGACTAATGGTATACAGGGACAAGTCAAGGACACTTCAGTGAATGAAAACAAAGCCATTCCTGGTCTCAATGGGCTTCTCACATAAAAATACATTCCATTTAGTCACTTTTTACAGTTAGTCACTGTTTGTGTTCAGCACACACAAATAGAGCAGGTCTAGACCATATTCCTCATAAAATTGTTTACAGAGATCGAACAGTTCCTACCATGAGCAAGCACTTGACGACAGTGGCAAGGAAAAACTTCCACAGAAGTAAAAAAGAAACTGAGGATTTTAGAAAAACTGTTTGATTTTATCCAGTGGGGAAATTAGTTCAACTTGGCTGGTAAATGTAGTTAAGCAAAGTACATTCTGAGTATTTGGATGTGTAGAAGCAAGCAATAGTATCTTGAAATCAGTCAGCAGTCTTCTTTGGATTTATTGCATCACCATGTAGACATAAACTTGCCAGCAAAGATCGATCATAACAAACACGTTTAGTTTGACATAAACACAGGCTTTACAGTCAGCAGAAATATCTTCAGACACACCAGTCATGCTGATTGAGTGTCTAAAGTCAGTTTTAGTTCAAAGAGAGCAGGTTTTAGAAAGCTGTCCCTGCAGCCCAAATGATGGAGTGTGACAGCTGTATGGAGTCATCTGAAAATGTCATCACAAATGTGAAACATTTCATCATGAAATTTATGGTACTGGCATATTTGACGTGAACATAAAAGCCATTTTAAGCGAGTCTTGTTTTATGTGATTTTTGAAACTACTGACAGCAGACTGTGTGACATTTCAGAATTGCAGGGAGATTGCAAACACATTTTTGCTTTCCTTTTGAAATGGATATAATGAGAAGATGTAAAAGTCGGTCTCTCTGTATGCTGTGAAGTGGAGTGTCTTTCCTGAAATGTCATTAAAAAATATCCCCCTGTAAGCTGTTTTCTGAAAGGCTGAAGATAAATTAATTTTTTATTCAGAAATTAAATCTGGACTTTTACAATTTACAGTGGATTTATGTAAGAGAATGTCTTACCACACCAAGTACACAAATAAAGTAACATAGACTCATAATGCTTACAGCTTATAATGCCAGCTGAAGAACACATGACAGTGATATAGTGTTATACTTATTTAGATTTCACATACTGACCAAAACCGTTGCATCTCGTGGCCTCCAGCTGTGAATACATTGTGTTCTGCAAGCAGCAGCCAAGATATTGTGACCCCTTCATACAATGCTATATAACATATGAATATATGTTTGTTTTACTGTCTTTTAATGCTACTGCACTCTTAAAAAAGCTACCTACAGTTACTAATCACTTTATAAATTGTAGATTAAGCTGTGAATATGTAGAATGAATATTTATTGATGAAGTTAAAGAATATGCTTTGTTCGGTTTGCTTTTTTGAACAATCAACATCAAAAATATAATATTTATTATTATTCTAAGCACATATTCATCCACAATGATGCCACATTGATTATATTTATGTTCTTCTTAATGTGTTTTTCTCTTTCTCTGTGACAGTGATGAAACAAGACAATGAAAGTAACCGACAGAGGGATGAAGGGAAGGAGGAGAGCAGTTATGAAGACAACAGGGCTAATTTTTATTTACTACACTAGACTGGGGGGTACAAGAAGAGGTGGAGCATGGAAATTGGGTTGCTTTGGGGACCTCGGGAGACTCACTATGTTTGGCATTGATTACACTTGTTTTAAAACCTGGAGTAGACCTTTTGGATGGAGTTTCTCCCTTTTTATTTTAAATTAAAGACAGAGTTGCCCTTAAAGATTAAACTTCATCCATCAATGCTACCACAGGTTTAAAACCATACACGTGCAAAATCACAATGTGACATCACTGGATTACATAATTAGCTTCTTTTGATTCTAACTCTTTATTCACCAATCACATCTTTGGTTGACTCCGTTGCAGAATAGAGCTGTACAGTGAGGCGCGGCTGACACAATCCAAACAGTGGCAGAATCTTACTTATCTACCCCAAATGAAACACAAAATGCCATTAAATGCCACGCACTTCTCTTGGAGTGTGTGTCTACATGCAAGTGTAACACTGAGCCTCTCTATTCTGTCTTGGAGTCTTGCACTTAAATTCTGTGCTCTCTGCTGGGTATATTGGGGAAAATAAACACAGGCTGCCATTCTGTTTTATTCACCTCAATAACAAGTGATGATTTACGCTCACAACATTTAATCCTTAAGCACACTGTTTGGCACCCATTGCTGTAACATATCTGCTTAAAGAAGCTCTGTGTTTGTTTTAATGCTGTTTGTTTAATTGCATTTTTGCCACCTGTGAATGTTTATGTATTTTTTTCCCCCAATATCCCTAATTAGCTTTCAGTAGAAAAAGCCATTTAATAACGCCAATCCTTACTCTAAAATTGCTTGCCTTTTTAAATCCAGCTGAAACGCCACCAAACAAGCAAGCTATTAGGTTGTACAAATTTTTTCTTGCCATTCCCAGCATACTTGTATATTATGTTAGTACATCAATTGTTCACTTGTTTTCCTTTGTTATCCTGTTTCTCTGTAAATTCAAATACTGATTACCCTGTCTTTCAAGCAGGAGGTGTGCTGTGCATGGCGCAAAGCTTAAAGAGTCTGTGGCTACTAAGCCGCTGATCTAGGACTGTAATTACTACCATTTCTCAGTCTTTCACATCCTTTCAGTCCTCTACTCCTGGATGAAACCATTCGCACAAGAACAGCACACAGTAGTTCCACTTAGAAAGCCCAATCCTCATCAGTTTTTACTGTAAAATTGGTGGAATTTGGTGAAATGGTAGACAATCTCAAACTGTGACCTGCTGTGTTGTCGTTTTCACATGACAACGAAATGGGACTTTGAGGGGCTACGGCGCAGTAGTCACAGATTCACCTTTTAGGAGAAATCACTGGTGTGGGTTCACTCTAGTTTGATACAAGCAGGGAAGGGAAGGGAAGGTGTGGGAGGGAGCGGGTTTGTTGCTGGAGTATGCGATGTACCTTTTTGTTTTTACCAAATGAAAACATTTTAAGTGTCACAGCAGGAATGTTTCTGTGTTTAGGTACTCAATACTGCCATTTCTGTTTCTTCATCACACTGTCGGCAGGCCAGAAAGGTTTGATAGCGGGTTGACGTGCCTTTTTACTTTGTTGTACACTGGAACCAATGGCCTTGATTTATTTTATTTTTTTTAAAAGGTCACCTCGAACCACTATCTCTGCCCACAAGGTTTATTTTTATTTTGTTATGTTTGTCTACTGATCTTGCCATTTTGACTGTTAGAAATCCTGTGATGGCAGGGGAAGATAGATAAGTGAACATGCAGCATCGTTTTTCGATTTTAATGTTTTATATAAAAATATTGTGGTATGAAAGTTGTTTTTTTTTAGAAAGGGGATTCTTAATTTTGGAACTACTGAGTTTTCATTTTTCCCATGCTTTTTCCACTCTGCTCTGAGAGAAGAGAGAAATGTTTTTGTTTTGTTTTTTAATTTAGGGTTCTTTTTTATGAGATATTCTCAGTGCTTTACTTTTCTCTTTCTCTGTACTGTATACTGTATATTTTGTGGTACGCTGTTGTGACCTCTGTGGTGTGTTGATGTATCTTTTTATTTTGTTCCAGCTGTGTAGAATTTATAATGAAAAAAACTCATGGAAACCAATCACAACCCCACATTCTCTGTCTTTCTATTCCCACATCTCTAAAAGGCAATTAACAAAAGCTGTTATAGGATTTGGTTAGTGAGATCACTGTTATTTTTTTATCATCAGAAATTAGACTAAATTTGTTTTGAAATTCACGGTGTGCGCTTTTTTAGATACACAAAGTTGTATGGGAGCAAGCAAGTGTGTCTGGCCCAATGACAAGGCAACTGAAACCCTCACACACCATTGAACATCATCTGTAAAATCTTTACACTCTAGACCAGAAGCGAAGACCTATCAGAAATCAAATTGCTTTTGATGTAATTCATCCGTGTACGTTTTTTCTTACACTTCCGAGAAGATGACATCTAAATTGATTCCTCGCTGGCACCAAACTTTAATCTCTTTGATATAACCAGTATTATGTAAATTTTCTCTCACATTGATTGATCCCATGATTTGTTGTGACAGAACAGAAAAATCAAGGAAGCTCATGTTTCGCATCGATAACTGCTTAAGGGATTGGCTCGCTGACAACTTTATGATGCAGTGTTCTCTGTACTCACTTTCATTTTTAGAAATGAATTGAAATTAAGCCATCAATCATCAGCAAAGTGATGTGCAGCTTTGTGAATGCATCAGTAACAATCAGTAGGACACTTACCAATAGCAACTGTGATCATAATTGTCTATTATTCATATATTAAAACCAAGCTTTAATCAAGAGAAGGGATGAAAGAATTCTTCTTAAGATCTAAATTAAGCTGTTTTATTCCCAACATTAGAAATCTCCCCTCCGTCTAACATTAAGCTTACATAACAGTCTTCTCTAACCTTGCAGCACTAAGTGACAGTTTTGCCCAACACCAAGCACATACACAGGCTCTCTGTTTATGGACCAATAAGTGCTATTGTACCTCCACACACCCCCTTCTGTGCTGGTTCTCCATTAGGAAATTAAAAGTCTCCCATCAATGTGACCTGGAAAAATCGATCTGTGCTCTGAATACAAAGCAGGAAAGGCGGAAGCAAGCACTAATAGTGTATTGGCCGATAGAAGGAATTCATGGTAAATAACAGTGTCAGTGTCATCCCCTGCTGATGTGATGGAGGTGAGGATACATGTCTGCATCTTCAGGGGTTTCAGACTCTAAAACCTAACCTGCAATGAAACATTCAAACATTTGCTGTTTCAGATGCTTTTCCACAAAGGAGAAATCTCATAGGCTACATTTACACTGCAGTGCCTTAGTCTCAGTTCTGATTTATTGCTCACATAAGATTTTGTTATTTTGTTTGACTTTGATTTTAAAAATGTGGCCCATGTCTGATTCCATTGTGAACAGGTCACCGCCCTGAAGTAACCGACATGACAAATGTAAATCTAGATTAAAATAAAAAATCATATAAATTCTAATACACACAGAGAAATAGGGGTATCATTTCTGTACCCAAAGGTACATTTGTCAGAAAGGTACCCTGTAAGGTACGAAAAAGGTCCTTAAAGTAATAACTGACCTTTATTTAATTTTAAAGGTACAAAATCATGGCTGACAGAAAGGGGTACATAATTGTACTTTTAACAAGCTTATGGTACAGGAAAATGTTACAACCAATCAATGATCACAAAATCTTGATTTAAATAGATAGTTGGGTTTATTGGGTCTGTGTGGCGGGACTAAATCGTTTGAACAACAGCCACTGTGGCCACAAGGAAAATAACAGAAAATGTTCATTTAATTTACCGGTAGCACTTTATAATGAGGGTACAAATCATGTACTTAAAGAGATTTTGCACGTTTATGTGAATGCCCAATCACTTTGTGCTAAAATGACTGAGAAAGCAGAGTTATCCTGCTCTCGGAGCTGTGCCTGCAGTGTCTACATATAACAGGATGCACTACACTCTAGCTTCTGAAGCCCACACCTAATTCATTAATTAATTTCCCAAGATTTTCTAGAATCAGTTACCCTAAAGACAATATTATACCACCTGACGACCTGCCATAGAAACAAACAAGGTAAGATGTGTTTACTTTCGTGGTAATTTTTTCTGTGAGTAGTGTGCAACTTATGTAAACAGCAATAGTAATTAGTTACATTACTCACTTTTACAACATTGTGGTTTTACAGTCATTTTAAAGGCATGCTGACCATCAACTGCTAGCTTAGCCCCCACTGACGTCACAGTCATACAGCATACAATGCTCAACAAAACCAGGTGATTCCTCATTATAGGCCAGTGGATGTTTGCAAACTAGGTAAGAACATGAAACATAGAAAAAAAAAAAGTTTGAGTAGGTGTTGCATTCATTCTCTTTTGGTTTAGGCTGCTGCCACCCCAACCTCCAGGCCCTGGGCCAAGCACACAGACCAGTCTTTCCACTGAACTCACAGACCAAACTAATATAAAGCCGCCATCACGACACTGAAGTTGGCTTCCAATTTGCAGCTTCCGAGTCAGCAGTTAAGGGGAAACTTGCTCCTCTTACTGTTGTGAAAGCTTATGTAAAGCCTTTAGGCTGTCTGAAATCCACTTTTCAAATTTGTGAAAATTTAATTGTATTTGTCAAATGGCTAAATAGGGAGATTTTACCTTTCCCCATCACACATTTAGACCACTTTGGACCAGGTCCAGATCAAAAGCCATTATTCCTAGACTTGTCAAATCTGAACTAGATAACCCCAGAGAGGCCAGAGACTCTTTAAAACGCAGTTTCAGATTTGTGAAACTATTATTCTATTTGTGAAAATACAAATTGAAATTTATCCCTTGAGTTTCCCCTTATCGGAAGCCAACTTCAGCATTGTGCCTCTATCAAACTTTCAGTGCGACAGTAAACTACCCCACCCTGAAAAATGTCAACATAATGAAGCATTCTTGGGATTTGTAACTGTAATGGGATTAAATTTCAAGTCACTTGCTACAGAAAAAAGTAATCATGTTACTAAGTAATATGTAAATGAAACTGTAGTATAACTAAAGAACAACAGAAGTAGAGAACATTTATTAAGTCAGTGAACTTACTCAGTAATGTTATGCTGTGTAAGTTTTATAATAGCCACCGTAAGCCACTGTTTATATCAGACCAAGTATGGTATAGCAGCAAAAAAAACGACTCACCAAATGGAGAAAGTATGCCTTTTAATTCTTATGAATTCAACATATTATTTGGAATTGGAAGATTGTGTCCTTTAAAAGTAATAAAGTCTCGCGTTAAGGCTATTCTCTCTGTGGTGTTGGTAATAATAATGAGTAAATTAAATGTAATCATAAGTAGGCTACAGTAAAACCAGCCTTTAAGTGACTGGATCAAGTAGTACAGTATGTTGAGTAAGTGTGTGTATGTGTATCTTGCTGTGTGTGTGTGTGTGAGATCCTCCCATTTTTTGTTTTACAAAGAATGAGAGGATCAGTGCTTTTCAGTCTGGCTAACAATGAGGGGGATTACTGTCATTCCTCAGTGTCCTTCCCTTCCTTCCCCCTCCTCCCCTCTACCCCCTGTGAGTTTTCCTACTGCATCCACTGGGTTTAGTTACAGTAGCTTTAAACTGATTTAGCCATTTAGTGTCAGCCTATTGAGGGATGACAGCCACTGTCTGTCCTTTCTGCCTGCCTCGACCCGGATCTGATGGCTACTCAGTAGCACTTGGCTCGGAGTCAGTTCAGTTTACACACAAACACACACACACACAGAAATAGACACACTATGCTTTATGTAGCGCTGTTGAGATGGATCCAGCCAGGTTGAACAAGGCCCTGGTGACAGCCTCGCTGACAATATGTGCTCCATCATCCTACATAATCAGTACACACATGCCGTTTGCACACACGACCCCAAGAGCAATGAGGCAAGAAGAAGATCAGCAATGGATATAGAGACTGAGAGGACTGGAATGTGTCAAGGGAGGAAGGGAAGGCAGAAGATAATTAATAGATAGACTTAATAAGGTTGAGAGGAAAAAGCTAGATGGAGTGAACAGAAAATGGATTTAAAAGTAGGATAGGGAGGGGAGCAAGTTGAAGGAGGAGCTACAATATATTTATGAGAGGGGGTAGAGGAAATGGAAAGTGGTGATTGGTGATGAAGAACGAAACGGAAGATGCCTTGTTAAGAAGTCATAAATCTGCATTGGCTCTGGGCTTTAAACAATATAGGCTCTAAAGACATAAAACGGGTGATAAACGGAGGGAGGAAGGCATGGAGGATGAAGGGAGGAAAGCAAAGAGTTGAAGGTGTGTAGCAGAGAGGTGGACAGAGATAAAGAAAGAAAATAGCGCCTGTGTGATAAATGTGTTTATCTCCCTCAGTCCTAAGGTTTAATATCCTGTGTGGCCTGAATGTGTTTACTGTTTGGGTGTGATTAGGAAAGACAGAACAGAGAGATGTTACCTGTGTACTCAGAGTGTGTGGGTGTGTGTTACCTACCTGCCTGTGTGCGCCTGCATTTATTTGCTGTATTTCTGATATCTATCTCACAGCATGGAAGATTTGTTTCATTGATTGTATCTGTGAGTGTGCTATTAAGCCAAACGGTGGCAGATCTCCCGCTGCCCGATCTTCAGCGAGTGTGTGATTGTGTGTCGCTCATATCCAGACTACCTGTGGGATGTTTGTTATTAAGGCACAGCTTGGTGTGCTTTAATTTTAATTGGTTGGGTTTACTTTGTGTTGTGTCTGAGGAATTGAGAAGGAAATACAACAGAGGGAGTTCAAAATTTCCTGCGGGGTTTAGGTAAATAGTTTAAAAAAACCAAAACAAAATAAATATGTAGCACTGATGTGTGTAGAAGCAAAAATGTGATGGGAGAGATGTTTTTATGTGCGTCACTCCCTCTGAGTTCATCTATGGAATGATGTGGTCAATCCGCAGGGGTCAAAGGTCACTTAAACTTTCCATGAAAGGCTGAGGTCAACTTCATGATTCCATTAAATCATTAAAAACATTTTTTAAAACCAGAAACATTCAGACATGTAGTCTGAAATGATGTTACTAAACAAGTACTTGGGGTGGTGTT